TATAAGAATCATATGTAATGAACAAATATGAATCATAAAATAAATGAAATCCTTTTTGCCATTCCTAACGTCAATGAGTTATACCAGGGGATCCTGGAGTTGGTTAATCATGTGGATAATGTTTTTTTAGCATCTTGTTTGGTACATAATAAGACTTTTCAAATTTACAAAAATATCGACCAATATCTTTGTGATTAATCCATACTGATTCTTCGCACTTTGTTAAGCACACTAAAATCAAAGAAATATGCTTCGCAATATATAAGACATAAAAATATAATTTATAAAGATATATCTAATAATTTGTTCATACCTTCGGGGATGTAACACTTTTCACCATTTTCACAGAGGACTATGTAATATGGTCTTAAATTAATTTCACGGAAAGAAAACAAATGACAGATTTCCATTAAATCATCGTATTCTCTACCTTAAAAAGGGCATATTATTTACTTTTGAGGTCTCTGTTCGTTGTCATCGCGACGGTTATCGATCAGTTATTATAGAGATAATTGCGTTTGACAGTTTGTATTTTGACAGCTTTATTTGAACAGCTGTCTGATAAGTTTAAGGTGATACAAGTGTTTAAACAGATACAATTAAAGGGATACAAAAGAACAGAATAAAAGGTGCGCATGTATGCCTAGTATAGTAAATTGCTTACGTCTCTCGTCCCATCCAATTATCACACCCCTATTCTTCAAAAAAAATTTGCGCTCTCGAAAAGAAGTATAAAATGTTACGATCATTCCAACTGCAAATGTTATGATTATTGTCCTTTGCTTTGGTGTTTGGTTGCAAAGTGGCTGCAAAATAGAACTTAATGTCAGAAATTATCATACATTCTTTTCCATAATTACATGGAAAATTTGCGTTTAAGATATCATAATTTATTGAGTTAAAAAGACTAACACTATTTGTTTTATATGCATTAATTTTACAAAAATATATTAAATAATAAATTCAGTTACTTCATTATTTTAAATTATATGATTTGTTTATAAGACAATATAATACTTAAAATAATTTTATTACTACGTAAATTAGACATTCCGATAGAACTTGTGGTAATTACATACCATAACTGGATTTATATGGTTCCTAAATTTATTCAACAAGTGTTCAGCGTATCTTGCCTCCGAAGGGTCAGTAACCTTACAATTATTCTGCAGAAATATAGAAGCACTAAATTTATTTAAAAATATCGTTTGCTTAAAGTTACACTTATATAGAAACATGTTTATGCAATAGAAATGTTTAGATTTTTTTTAATTTATACGAACATTTCGTTTTATATATAACTATTTATGTGTATATGTTATACACAGAATATTTACATACCTGAATCTCCTCCAACCCAACTATGAGATTGGATAAATCCGTCTGATACTGAACATATATATCACATAGTGCAACAATTGCAAACGTATCTGGTTTTATTAGACACCATAATTCCAGATACGACCGTTGTATAATTTTTTTGTTTTCAGTTGCTAAATACAAATTAGCATTCATATGTGACATCACCTTGAAATAAAGATTATGACATAAGCAAAGCTAAGATTGCAAATTTATTTTACTACTCTTTTTCTATTAATAATATTATCATATTAATGAAACATGCTCCATACTGACATAATACATATTAGCTAACATCTCCAACTAATTTTCTGCTATCTATTAAGTTCATTAACTATTACTATAAAATATAAATAACTGCTAACCTCCACAGCACTTTTCTTTGTATACTCAAGAATACCATATTTTGCACTATTAATTATAGGACAGTAATTTGTACACGGCATTTGTCCATTACGCATGAAGTCAATACAAAAACATTCTTTTTCTCTGAGATTTGTGGTATGACTGTGATAAAAAAAGATATACATATAAATACATATAAATATGATAAGGAAGAAAATTTAGGCTAGCATTAAAATTATACTAATACTATTTCGGTCTCCAGCATAAGTAGGTAGTACTTCCACGGAATATTATATCGCAGCGTATACCAAGTCTTCTCGCCACACTGTGATATATTGTTGCTAGAATTACCGTAGTACCAATTTTATCTTGTAAAACCTGTCACAAATTACATTAAAAAATATTAATATTGACACATAACAAGAAAAGAACTGTGCTGAAAACATCAAGTATTCATAATGTATTATAATTTATAAGTATTTATAATTAATAACTTACGCAATCTATATTAGACTGTTCTAGGCCTCTCTCGTGCAAATAATCGAGCTCCGTACTTCCATGAAAATCTAGTTTATTATATAAAACTTTACAAAGACTCTCTATAATCTGACTTCCTTCTATGCTATTCCAATGATTGTCATCGATATTATTGTTTTTCCAAAAGGAAAGCTGCTCTCTTGATATTGAGCATATTGGATGCGCCGAATAATTATTTTTAAGGCACTCCAATACCTGCTGTGCAATCTTATCCAGTGACGTACTCACATACAAGTAAGACACATATTTCTGGGGTTGATACCATTGTGCTAAAATGAAGGCTGCCTTTTCTAAAATCTGTTGTTTCTCAGGATAATTTAGAAATTCGTGCACCTTCTTCCTTAAACGATAATGCTGCAGGTATGAAGAGAAGCTTCTCTGCGTAATATCTTTGTGTCAAATCGGATTCCCTAAAAACATTTTATATACAATATTTAAAATCTAATATTTCTGAATTAAATATGTAATAAATGCGTTATAATCTGCTGTATTAACAATTTGTTAAATCTTACATTGGAGATTCTGTAAGCAACCTTATCAGCTCATTTACAAAGAAATAATAATTCATGAAATATGCGCCTTTATCTGAATCAAACAGTGAATTGAAATCCCTAAAGTCAACATCAAATAAATCATCTTTGTAATAGTGTTTCTCAGACATCTGCGACAAGTAACGCCATAATTCTTTCTTAGATTTTACACCTGCTTTTATATGTTCAAGAAAATCTTTATTTTCTAGGCACAGTTGTTCGTCATATTCTTCTCTTAGATGAGGCCATCTAAAATTAAAACAAAACATGTCATTTTTCAAAATTATATAATTTTACACATTTTACAGTTTCTTTATATTTTCCAAAATTACAGGCCAGATAAGATTATTGTAACAGAAATGAAAATTTTTCAACAAACGTTACTATACATTTCAAAATTTGACTAAAATAGAAAATTTATTCAAGGCAAATGAAATAAGATATTTGCTTATCACTAAACTTGCATCCCGAATAAGATAAATTAAGCTTGTTTGCACAAAAACCAAAATAAAATGAAAAATAAAGTGAAAAAATACCTCTGATAAAATTTCTTTCGCCAAAGTGCATTGTCTTTGGTTAATAGGACATAGAATTGGTTGAATGAGAGAGCTAAACTCATAATATCCTTAAAGCTGATGCTCTCATCGCATAAAATGTAATTAATCTCTTCAGTGTGCAAGTGCGCTATTGTAGTCATTGCATAGATAGTTCAGCGAAGTACGAAAGAGCCTGAAATTCACAATAACGGCAAGTATGTCCGTTATTAATCGTTGTACAACTAATTTCGTGTTATTTACAAATGTGCAAAACATATCACTCAAGGTGCCTTTTTACGTTGACGTTCAATTTCAGCGGTAAATAACACGTGACCGTAAATGACCAACTGCTACAGTAATTTTGGTCACGTGTTTTCTCACCAGGCGAATGAATTCTATACATAGGCTGCGTTTCCTTTGGATGTTTATGCGCTGTGAGCGCTTACGCTTATAAGCGCTAATTTCAATCGTTCTTTTTGGTTTGTGAGTGCTAAAGCGACGCTTACAATAATCGTTTCTTTTGATCTTACTAAGCGAATGAAAGCAGTATCAAAATATCAGATAATGAAAAATTAATTATAGTATTTGCAACACCAATGTTATTTGAAATAATTGATGATACTGAAGATCAAAATGCTTATTATAAAATGTAGAAAAATATAAAAAGTTACCGACCAAACACGCTCTATAACAACACTAATCCGCGGTTGCAAATTTACATTGATAATGTTATATCAGCTTACAATGATGAAACATTTAGATCACATTTTAAGTATGTATTATGTTTTTATATTTTTAAATCATATAGCTTGATAAATTCAAGTATATCTATAAAAAATTTTTTCTTTATTTCAAGTATTATAGAATTATTTTTCTAAAAATATGATGTATTTCTTTCAGAATGATAAAATCAACATTTCATCTTATATTACATTATTATCAGACTTTTACTTTTAGAACTGAACCATTTCCAAGAACTAAACAATTTCTTTTATAACATATGTTTGTTTTAAAATGAAATTGTTTATTAATGCTCAGTGAACGCCGCTTGTTGATATAATATTTAGATTCTACGCACAATAGAGAAAATATTAAAAATGAGAGTATATATTAAATATTATAAGAAGAGCAATTTGGAATTATTTTTTATTGCGTTCTCTTTCTAAACTTGTACGCCCACCGCTTAGGGCCACTTCGACCAAGTTCCGGTTAAAGAAATCGACGATCAACTTTTAATATTACCAACAATATTTCGGTTGATATATTCGTCTCACTAATTTTTTTCTATTATAAAATGCTCAGTGTTTTATTTGTCATGTTGTCATCTCTATATCGACGATTAAATTAACCAGAACTTGTGACATGTTCGATTATACGGATTTTGATAGACCCAAGGTTCATTAACGGTCGTATCAGCCGCTTCAGCAGACTCAACAGTCGGACAACGTTACTAAATTTTCCGCTGAATTTCGACGTTAATTCATTGGTTCTAAAAGTAAGAGCCAATCACGTTCGATTGTTACTAAGCGATTTGTTCTGCTAACTGCGGCCAATGACGTCATTGCATCGTCTCCACCAATAAGGGCCGTTTCAACGTAAATTAACTTTAATCTCGGTTCAACTTATTTTACATCTTTTTCTAGTTCTAAGAATTAGAACCCTTTTATTAGCCCTAGGAGTCATAAATTTATAATAAAATAGTGTTTGATCAACTTTGGGTTGATCAAAATCCGTATAATCAAAAACGCTATGTGATTGGAATATTACATTATGGAAAATTCACAGTATTACATTCCCGAAGGTATGAACAGATTATTAGATATATCTTTTAAGTTATATTTTCATGTCTTTATATATTGCGAAGCATTATATTTTTTTTATTTTAGTGAGTTTACAATGTGCAAAAGATCAGAATAAATTAAACGGATAGATGGATAGATGGATTAAACTCTTGACTATGAAAATATGGACTACTAAAGCCAAGATCTATAGAGGGTGTTTACGATAATTCAAGTTCGAGTTAGTTTCACTAGGACCAAAAAATGAGATAGACATAACCATCTAGAATCTTTATGATTTATGACAACTCGACGCTGTCTTGTATTGCTTGAGTTATAGCGTTTTCGATTATACAGGATTTGAACGACCCAGGGTTGATCAATCACTATTTTACTATAAATGCAAGTCTTTCATTGGTGGAGAGGTTGCAATGACGTCATTAACCAACCCTGGGTCGTTCAAATCCTGTATAATCGAAAACGCTATAAGATTAAGACTAGGGAAGTATAAACGCCCTTATGGCATTCTACGTTATCAACTCTTAAGATTAAGATTAAGACCGAAGCATAAACCGGCCATGAGTCTAAAGCGGTGTCTACAATGAGATTTTAAGATGTAAAACTTAAGCTTTAAGTCGTAATTTGTGACGTCATTTCCTTTCGTAAGGCTTTCCCACTAGACTTTTAGCCGTAACTTTAAGCCTCAAGCGAATTGGCGAAATCTCAATTTTTACGGCTAAAAATTTACGGCTTAAAGTCGAGTATGATATAATGACCAATAGAAGCAAGGTTAGCGAAAATACGTACATGTTAAGCGTTGTCTACAATGAGATTTTAATACGTAAGATTTAAGAGTTAAGCTTTAAGTCGTAAGCCATAGCATAAGCCGTTAAGTTATAATGTCTACAATGAACGCCATAAACTCATAGCTTTTAGCCTTAATGATCACAAAGAACCAATCAGAAA